AACCTGCTGCCTGAAGCAATCGTTTCCGCATCTTCAATTGACACTTTCAAGAGAAGTCTGGACACTCACAGAAGCATACTAGAAAAGGAATAACACAGGCCGTGGGCCTTCTGTCCTTACTACACAAATCTGAATCTGGATCTGAAAGTTCCCTAAAATTTCCCCAAAATTGGAAGCTCGGGATATCCAGAAAAACCTATCTCACTGCCTTATGCAACTCTTAAAGAGCTATTGTTAAGTCATGTAAAATGCACCACTTTTGAATGCCGTGAAAGGGCGAAATTTCATAAGATGATTCGTCAAAATGGCCAAAAGGTTAGATAATTCATCTTTGAACTGCAGAAAGAAGCTGCCAAATGTGATTTTGGTGATCAGCTTCATGTGCAAATGAGAGATTGGTTAATTTCAGGAATTAACATACCGGGTATGGAAAGAAAGCTGTAAAGAATGCCGAACTGTTCCTTTCAAGATGCTAGAACTGTGTGTATTAACTAAGAGACAGTGAATGAAGTTGATATCCGATCGATGGAAATTTCTAATACTTTGCTTAGTCGTCGTGATGAACTACAATCTCAGGGTCAATCGAACTTGCGTTCATTTAACAGTGATTCCTATTCTCGTGTAGATATGAAAGGCTTTTCAACAAGGAATCACAAAGGTGAGATGAATTTTGGTAAGTGTTTATCATGTGGAACGTTTCATTCTCATAATTCATGTGCATTTCGTAATGCTAAATGTTTTAAATGTGGTAAGATAGGACACGTCCAGTCAGTATGCAAAACTACTGTCCATTTTGCTTCAAGTAGTACTAAATCTTATAACTTAGATCGCAATAATTCGGATGCTCCTATTGATCACTTATCTTTGTATACCATTTCGAAAGGTAATGCTCATATTCAAAAGCGATTATATACATCACTTGGTTCATGTCATGACACAGACAGTATAGAGTCCATTATTTCATTCAAGAACTTGAAATCTTTAGATCCTAACGTTGCGGTACGATCCACTGAAGCGTCAATATTGGGGATTACTGAACACAGACTGCCCATACGAGGATGTTGCGAATTGCTAATAAGAGATGACAATTCTTCATACATACCTAATGAATTTTTAGTTAGCGAAACAGGAATGTAAATACTGGGTTTAAGGAGTTTGAAAAGGTTTAGAGTGGAGTTGTATTTCCCAGTTTCTGGAGAAATTCGACGAGTCTCTAATTTAGCGACGACCTTTGAACTAAGCTTAAATGACCTTGACAATTATTAGCCAATCAGAAGACAGTTAGTATAAAGTGAAAATATATTGTAAGTAAGTAATGAATTACAGTGGATATTCTTCTTTTACATGATTTAAAAACTTGTTAAGTTTTGATGAAGGTTCAGAGGTTCTGAATTCATAATACATTTGGTACAGAAACTCGTTCATAGGGTTAGTGATTAGGGTTGTAGCCTAGGGTTAGGGTTAAGGCTAGAGGTTGGAGTTAGGGTTAAGGTTTAGGTTAGGGTTTGTGGTCACGGTCAGCTTAGGGTTAGGGGTTAGTGTTAAAGTTTAGGGTTAAGGTTAGGGTTACGGTTGGAGGTTAGGGTGCTAACATGCGATCAGTTTATAACGGATTTTAGAGGTTAGGGTTTAGGGTTAGAGGTTAGGGTTAAGGGTTAGGGTAAGGGTTATGGTTGAGTTCAGGGTTAGGGTTGGGGTTGTAGCCTGTCAATGAACACTTCTTCTCTAAAATCCGATGTAAATCGATCGCCTGTTAGCACCCTAACCCTGACCTTAACCTAAGCCCAACCTTAACGCTAACCTTAACCTAACCCTAAACCGTAACCCTAACCATAACCCAACCCCAACTTTAACGCTAACCTCAACCTAACCCTAAACCCTCAATTAACCCTAACCCTAAACCATAACCTTAACTCTAAACCCCAAACCTAAACACCAACCCTGAAGCCTAACCCTGACCTAACCCTAACCTTAACCCTAAACCCCAACCCTATGGACGAGTTTCTATACAATATGCATTATGAATTCAGAACTTCTGAGCCTTGATCAAACTTTAACAATTTTTCAAATCATGTAAAAGAAGAATATCCACTGTAATTCATTACTTACAATATATTTTCACTTTATACTAACTGTCTTCTGATTGGCTAATAATTGAAATTGCTCAAACGCTTCTCATTGGCTCGTCCCTAGATTAGAGTTTCGCTGTCCCATCTGCTTCAACCTCTCATAAATCACCTCCTCTCTAAAATCTGCTGTGAACCGACCATGTGTTAGCATTTCGTGTTGAACTTGGCTCCGTGACCTTGAAATTGCTCAAACGCTTCTGATACGCTCGTCGCTAAATTAGAGTCTCGCCGAAAATTCTGATACTTTACCCAAAGATTTGATAGCTACGTGTGCTAAGTGCAGTGGAGGTATGAAAATTCAGCGTATAAAACTTCAAGTACAAGGTGATCCAGTCTTCCTTGAAAGACGAATAATTCCTTATGGTCTTCGAGAAGCAGTACAGAAGACATTGAACGATTTTTGTGCGAAAGGCATAACTGAACCGATTCAGTCTTCAGCATGGAGTACTCCTATTGTTACGCCACTGAATAATAATAATAATAATAATAATATATTTCTGCATGTGCAGGTACACACCGTTTTTAAAGGCATGATCTATAAACTTCAACATTTGTTGGTTCGCAAAATGCTTCCCAACTTATTAAATTTATAGTTGTTATGAAGTGAAATCGTAGAGCGCTTGCTGTAAATTATGACCTTGAGAGGGCGCGTACGTCAAGTTTACTCCAAACGACTGAAATGTCACTTGAGCATGAAGCACTAAGAACAGACATGACTAATTATTAAAAATTTATTCCTTTGCAACAGTAATAACCCAAGGAAATACTACAAATACTTAGGATTTACCTGTGACTTGACATTTCGTTGAGCTTTACTACAGGTGTTGGGATCAAAGATCAAACTACAAAGCAACAACAGAGCTAAAGTGTACACTACAAAACAGAGAATGCTAAAATAATGGTTTTGGTATTTATTTCGTGCTTTTTATGCAGCATAAGATGACTTATATATGAAAAAAATGGATACTCATGCAATCCAACCAACCCACGGCAATTGAAATACGGAATAACCGCCTCTAGTCAGGCCGTTCAAGGTCGTTGAAACGAAAGAGCGTGACATTCGAAGGGACCTAACGTTTAAACCGTGCCGAGGTTCCATAGCTGTGCTCTCAGAGCAAGATTCTGAAGAAGAAAAAAAGAGAAACAGACGAGCAGCAAGGCACTTGCATATGAACGCCAAAGGTTGCTTAACATTGTGTAGTAGACCGGACAGAGGTATAATAAATTAGAATAAATTCATATTATGTCTTGTTAGAGTGAAGTGAAGTCAGAGGCTCCATATTAGAGAATGTACTAATAAAGAACAATGAGTTGTGATGTTTAACAAGTTGGAGTAAGCTCACATGAAGGAAGGGAAGTCAAGGTTGGTACAAGGGACGGCAAACCTCTAGAATTTGCGGTGACTATAGATTAACTCTGAACTCCCGTTTGTTGAAGCAAACGTGCACGACGGTAGAAGCTGAAGATATTCTAAATCGACTTCATGGTTCTAAAGTGTTCTCGAAAGTTGACCTAAAAGATGCTTATCTTCAAATTCCTTTAGATGAATCTTCATCTATTTTGACGACAATTAACACTCCTTTTGGTCTGTTCAAATACAATTTCCTTCCATTTGGTCTAAGTTGTTCTCCAGCCATATTTCAGGAAGTTATGAATAAAGTAGTTAGTGATCTTGAAGGTGTTGAAGTTTATCAAGATGATCTCATTGTTCATGGCTCTAATAAGGTGGTTCATGACCAGAGACTTATTGCTTTATTGCGTCGTTTAATTGAGAAGAATATAACAGTGAATCCAAATAAGTGTTCATTTTGTGTATCTAGTTTTGAATGCCTTGGATACCTAGTTGATGGTTATGGTTTTAGACCAGATATGAAACGACTAGCTCCACTGACTAATGCACCGTCTCCGAAAAATCTTACAGAATTACGTTCACTAGTGGGTGCTCTTCAATACTATTCCCGTTTTATTCCTAATTTTTCTTGTCGTGCAAATTGTTTATTTAATATTTTAACATCAAATTCATTCAAATGGAGTGAGGAACAAGAGTCATGCTTACGAAGTCTGCTGAAGTTTCTTCAAAATGATGCTGTTCTTCGAACTTACCCCCACAGTGTGCATTCTGTGCTCATTACTGATGCATCACCTGTGGGAATTGGTGCAGTTTTGGAACAGGAATGTAGACCAGTTATTTGTGTTTCACGCAAACTTACTGTTACTGAACGAGGTTATTCACAGACTCAGCGAGAAGCATTAGCTGTGTTTTGGGCTGTTAAAAGACTTCATAAATATTTATTCGGAAAGAAACTCACCATTGTTACGGATCATGAAGCTTTAAAGTTTATTTATCATCCTGAAAAGTCCTTGGCAGGTTCCTAAGCTGCTATGGTTCAACGATGGAGTATTGCTTTGAGTACATATGACTATACGGTTCAGCACAAGAGTGCCAAACAGATTCAACATGTTGACTACATTTCTCGACAGTCATTACAAGATAGACCTATTATTACTTCGGACTGTTTGTTAGTGCAACCTTTACCAGTGAGACGTTCAGATCTCATTAGAGAAACTCGTAGATATTTTGGATGTATACTCAGTTCTAATTTGAAACGTAGATTCCCTATCTATTTTTCAAAGCGGGATGAGCCATCCACTACTCCTGATGGTATTTTGTGTTTAAATGGTCGTGTTGTCATCCTTCCCTCACTGCGTAAATCTGTTCTTGAAGATCTTCATAGTGGTCATTTAGGTGTTGAGAAAATGAAGTCCTTGGCAAGGCTCACATGTTGGTGGCCAGAGATAAATGCAGATATATGTCGTAGGGCAAACAATTGTGAGAAATGTGTGGTGTTTGAATGAACCAATGATACCTTTGTACTTGTGGAATGCTCGATTTCGAATTCTAAATACAGTACATTCGTTGTGCCTGTGTCTTCTTAATTCAATTGCGTTAATCCTGAAATTCCTAATTCATACGATAATTCTACTATTATATCGGCGTCGCGATGGAACCTGCAATGGAAAAGTTGGATATTCATTCAACTCCTGAAGCTATTGAGGATTATTTGGAAAGGTTCGAAATTTGGAGCATGACCAAGAAAGATGTTAAAGGTGAGAAAATTGTGGCACATTTTCTGACATTCATTGGGAGAGAAGCGTACAGCTTATTAAAAACTTTGGCATATCCAGAAAAACCTATCTCACTGCCTTATGCAACTCTTAAAGAGCTATTGTTAAGTCATGTAAAATGCACCACTTTTGAATGCCGTGAAAGGGCGAAGTTTCATAAGATGGTTCGTCAAAATGACCAAAAGGTTCGGGAATTCATCCTTGAATTACAGAAACAAGCTGCCAAGTGTAATTTCGGTGATCAACTTCATGTGCAATTGAGAGATCGATTAATTGCAGGAATTAACATACCGAGTTTGGAAAGAGAGCTGTTAAGAATGCCCAACTGTTCCTTTCAAGATGCTAGAACTGCATGTATTAACTACGAAGCAGTCAATGAACTTGATATCCAGTCGATGAACATTTCTAATACTTTGCTTAGTCGTCGTGATGAACTACAATCTCAGGGTCAATCGAACTTGCGTTCATTTAACAGTGATTCCTATTCTCGTGTAAATATGAAAGGAGTTTCAACGAGGAATTACAAAGCAAATCACAAAGGTGAGATGAAGTTTGGTAAATGTTTATCATGTGGAAAGTTTCATGCTCGCAATTCATGTGTATTTCGTAATGCTAAATGTTTTAAATGTGGTAAGGTAGGACACATTCAGTCAGTATGCAAAGCTACTGTCCATTTTGCTTCGAGCTGTACTAAATCTTGTAATTTAAATTTCAATAATTCGGATGTTTCTAGTGATCATTTGTCTTTGTCCACTATTTCGAAAGGTAATGCTCATATTCAGAAGCGATTATATACATCGCTTGGTTCATTTCATGACTTTATTCTGGACACAGGCAGTATAGAGTCCATTATTTCATTCAAGAACTTGAAAGCTTTAGATCCTAACGTTGTTGTACGACCCACTGAAGTATCAATACTGGGGATTACTGAACACAGACTGCCCATACGAGGATGTTGTGAATTGCTAATCAGAGATGATAATTCTTCATACATACCTTGTGAATTTTTAGTTAGCGAAACAGGACTGTCAATATTGGGTTTAAAGAATTTGAAAAGGCTTAAGGTGGAGTTGTCCTTCTTAGTTTCTAAAGAAAATTCTGATACTTTACTTAAAGATTTGATAGCTATGTGTGCTAAATGCAGTGGAGGTATGAAAATTAAGCCTATAAAACTTCGAGTACAGGGTGATCCCGTCTTTCTTAAAAGACCAATAATTCCTTATGGTCTTCGAGAAGCAGTACATAAGACATTAAACGATTTGTGTGTGAAAGGCATAATTGAACCAATCCAGTCTTCAGCATGGGGTACTCCTATCGTTACACCACTGAAGTCGGACGGCAAGACCCCTAGAATTTGCGGTGACTATAGATTAACTCTGAACTCCCGTTTGTTGAAGCAAACGTGCACGACGGTAGAAGCTGAAGATATTCTAAATCGACTTCATGGTTCTAAAGTGTTCTCGAAAGTTGACCTAAAAGATGCTTATCTTCAAATTCCTTTAGATGAATCTTCATCTATTTTGACGACAATTAACACTCCTTTTGGTCTGTTCAAATACAATTTCCTTCCATTTGGTCTAAGTTGTTCTCCAGCCATATTTCAGGAAGTTATGAATAAAGTAGTTAGTGATCTTGAAGGTGTTGAAGTTTATCAAGATGATCTCATTGTTCATGGCTCTAATAGGGTGGTTCATGACCAGAGACTTATTGCTTTATTGCGTCGTTTAATTGAGAAGAATATAACAGTGAATCCAAATAAGTGTTCATTTTGTGTATCTAGTTTTGAATGCCTTGGATACCTAGTTGATGGTTATGGTTTTAGACCAGATATGAAACGACTAGCTCCACTGACTAATGCACCGTCTCCGAAAAATCTTACAGAATTACGTTCACTAGTGGGTGCTCTTCAATACTATTCCCGTTTTATTCCTAATTTTTCTTGTCGTGCAAATTGTTTATTTAATATTTTAACATCAAATTCATTCAAATGGAGTGAGGAACAAGAGTCATGCTTACGAAGTCTGCTGAAGTTTCTTCAAAATGATGCTGTTCTTCGAACTTACCCCCACAGTGTGCATTCTGTGCTCATTACTGATGCATCACCTGTGGGAATTGGTGCAGTTTTGGAACAGGAATGTAGACCAGTTATTTGTGTTTCACGCAAACTTACTGTTACTGAACGAGGTTATTCACAGACTCAGCGAGAAGCATTAGCTGTGTTTTGGGCTGTTAAAAGACTTCATAAATATTTATTCGGAAAGAAATTCACTATTGTTACTGATCATGAAGCTTTAAAGTTTATTTATCATCCCGAAAAATCCTTAGCACGTTCCTCAGCAGCTATGGTTCAGCGATGGAGTATTGCTTTGAGTGCATATGACTATACGGTTCAGCACAAAAGTGCCAAACAGATTCAACATGTTGATTACATTTCTCGACAGTCATTACAAGATAGACCTATTAATACTTCGGATTGTTTGTTAGTGCAACCTTTACCAGTGAGACGTTCAGATCTCATTAGAGAAACTCGTAGATATTTTGGATGTATACTCAGTGCTATAAGGAAAGGTTGGAATGCTAATTTGAAACGGAGATTTCCTATCTATTTTTCAAAGCGGGATGAGTTATCTACTACTCCTGATGGTATTCTGTGTTTAAACGATCGTGTTGTCATTCCTCCTTCATTGCGTAAATCTGTTCTTGAAGATCTTCATAGTGGTCATTTAGGTGTTGAGAAAATGAAGTCCTTGGCAAGGCTCACATGCTGGTGGCCAGAGATAAATGCAGATATATGTCGTACGGCAAACAATTGTGAGAAATGTCATCAGTTGAAAAATCATCCTTCGAAGTGGGTGCCATGGCCAGTATCGTCTGAGGCCTGGCAGAGGATTCATGCTGACTATTGTGGACCATTTCTTGGTAAATACTACGCACTAGTAGTCATTGATTCTTTTTCAAAGTGGCCTGAAGTTTTTTTCACAACTTCACCAAATTCTGATTTCACAATACAAGCATTAAGAAAGGTGTTTAGTCGAGAAGGTGTTCCCTTGGTGTTGGTGACTGATAATGGCTCACATTTTGCTGCAGATGCAGTCACTACCTGGTTGAACGGTATAGGGTGCAAACATCTATTTACTGCTCCCAGACATCCGTGTTCTAATGGTCAGGCAGAGAATTTTGTTAGGACATTAAAGACTGCTATTGATTCAATAGCCCCCTCAACATTTAATGAGCTGGAGAGGGGAGTAGATACCTTTCTATTGCAATATAGAAATGCCAAACATTCGGTGACGAAGGAGACTCCAGCGAAGCTATTGAAAGGAAGAATTCTTCGGTCGAATATGAGATGTCTGGAGTCTGCAGAGGTTACATACTATCGAGGAAATGATCTTCGACCATCTACGGGTATTGTTCTGAAGAATGTCGGAAAATCGATGGTGCGAATTCTAGACATCGATGACTTAAGTACACACAGTCAGTCAGTCAGTATCAACGTAGAACTTCGTACGTACGTACATCAGTTCGAGTTGCCACACCACATTAGCACAGAGATGCAGTTGTCCATTCAAATCCCATAGTGGTAGAGGTAGCAAGAGTATAAGCAGTAATCGGGAAGATTAGGGTTTGGAGATGTTATTTATAGAGTATAATCCAGTGAAATAAATTTGGAAAGAGGAAAAAAGGGACATGAAGAATTCAGAAGATTAGAATTTGAGAGAACACAGAGAGTGGATGCACCTGCGCCATTGCAAACGATTTTGAGCCATGTCATTCAGGGTCTCTAACCATCGGTTGCTATCATCTCGCGGTCCCCAACCAGGTAGTCTACACCTACCAACATGACTCAGTTCACTTGTCAGTGACTTCATGGACTTGTGCCATGTTTTGGTTTGGCCGCCCCTAGCTTTCTTCCAACCTACTCCTATACCACTGAACATAGCACGTCGAGGCAGTCGGTCGTTGGGCATACGTAACACGTGTCCCAGCCATCTCAACTGATGAAGTTTCACTACGTCATCAATTGATTTGCCACCCTTACCTAGTACCCGTTTTCTAACAACTGTGTTACTTAATCGATGGTCCCATGATATACGAGCAATGTTTCGAAGACACCTATGATCAAATACTAGTAGCCTACGGATATCCTCTACTCTTACCGGCCATGTTTCACTGCCATAAAGTAGGACGGAACGAACTGCTGCACAGTAAACACGTCCTTTGGTTGATAGACGGATATCTCGCCTACGCCATAAATGACGCAAGTTGGCAAAAGCTAGTCGAGCCTTCTGTATCCGTGCTGAGATTTCGTCACACACCAGACCACAAGGGCTGATCAGACTTCCAAGATAAGTGAAGCGGTCGACACACTCAACTACTTCACTCCCTATCACTAGTTCGGGTGTCGATGTAACCCAATCCTGAAGCAACATTTTGCATTTCGAGGGAGAGAATCTCATCCCGAACATGCTTGCATTGTTGCTTAGAGTGGTCAGAAGACTCTGCATTTTGTCAGCGTCTTCACCAAATAAAACTATGTCATCAGCATATTCTAAGTCAACAAGTGAACCTCCCGGTAGAAGTTCAACCCCTGGAAATCTAGATGAGGAAAGTGTTATCTCTAGAAGTATGTCCACGACAAAGTTGAACAAGAATGGGGAGAGTGGACAGCCCTGACGAACACCACTTGAGGTAATCAATTCTGATGACAGTTCGCCATAAGCTCTCACCCTACCAGTTGTGTTCGAGTAGAGAGCCTTTATAAGGTTAATGTACTTCTTTGGTACTCCTTTCAGTGACAAACACTGCCATAGAACCTCACGATCAACAGAGTCGAATGCCGCCTTAAGGTCGAGAAATACTACCATTGTGGGGCGTCTGAATGTGTGTCTGTGTTCTAGAACCTGACGTAGTGTGAATATCTGATCTATACAACCACGTCCAGGTCGAAAACCAGCCTGATTTTCTCTAGTCTGCTCTTCACGAGCTTTGATTAGGCGTCGAAGTATTATTGAAGCTAATATTTTAGACACTATATTAGTCAAACTGATTCCTCTGTGATTGTCACAAGAGGACTTTTGTCCTTTCTTATAGACTGGCACAATCAGTGATTGAGACCAGTCAGATGGGATTACGTCCAGTTCCCAAATTCTACTTAAGACCTCGGTTAATCTCATTGCTAATACTGGACCACCATCCTTAAAAATCTCAGGAGTAAACCTGTCAGGGCCTGCTGCTCTCCCTCGTTTCAGATTTCCTATGGCTTTTTCAACTTCGTAAAAAGTCGGAGGACCTACATTAACTTGCCATTCAGGTTGACTAGAGATCGTGGGAAACCGAAGTGTGGCTGAAGGCCAGTTGAACTGATCCCTAAAGTGTTCTGCCCATCGATCCAATCTCCTGGATTGAGAATGAATAATATGTCCATCTTTCTCTGAGATTGTTTCGCTAACGGTCGGGTTCCTAATTCCGGTTTCCTTAACGAGTCTGAACAATTGTCTGCTATTACCTATTGCCGCTGCCTTTTCCATCTGTCTTGCTTTCGCTACCCACCACTGTTCGCGATCGTTGCGTAGGCTTCTGGTCAGCTTGCGCTTAAGCTGACTCCGCTCTTCATTATGTTCAGAGCCAGGTGGAATGAGTTTCCGAGCATCTATCAGTGAGATAGATGCTGCTGAGATCCAGTGTTGCTCCCTAACCTTCTGGTTTACCTTACTAGCAGATATCACTGCTGTTTCCACAGCTTTTCGGATATCATTCCATGCTGCATCGGGGTGGGCATCACATACATGGCTGCCTAACTGTTTTCCTAGTTGTTCCTGAAATATACTCTTAGCTTGACTATCATTAAGTAGGCCCCTAAGAGGTTTTCTTGCAGTGTCTTTCCTACGTCCAGTTAGACGCAAGCAAATACGCGCTCGCACTAGAGCATGATCTGAATCTAGGCATGTGCTCCAGAATGAGCGACAGTCTTCTATCGAGCCCCTCCATCGGTGGCTGATAGCGATGTGATCTATTTGGGTCCAACGTTGGGACGAATTAGGGGGTCTCCATGTTAAAAGATGTTTTTCCTTATGTTTAAAGTTAGTATTTGCAAGGAACAGGCGGTTATCTGAGCATAGCTGCAACAGACGGTCGCCATTATCTGTTCTTTGAGCCACGACACCGTAAGATCCACCCAGGTGTCTCTCCCTATCGCTTAGTTTACCTACTTGAGCATTAAAGTCACCGGCCACAATTACTACATCCGAGCGCTTAGCTTTTCGGAGAAGGTCCGAAAGCTTTCTGTAAAACTCATCTTTTACATCATCTGAGCTGCAGTCAGTGGGAGAATAGGCAGAGACGACGAAGAGGCAACGACGAGTGTCCCTATCTTTCCGGATTCTTACTGTTCCGTTCAGTCGGACAGCACACAAACGACTGTCTACTGGGATCCACTCTAAGAGAGCTAGTTCTGCCCTAGGACTCAATGCTATACCTACGCCGGCAAGGCCGCGGGAAGCAGAATCAGGGCTCCCAGATACACGAAGCGTAAATCGAGTCGGTTCTTTATTTTGGCATGGTGAGGTCAAATGAATGACGCTACTTGGATCCTGTATGCGCGTTTCGGAGACGCAGCACACATCGATGGCGCGAGATTCTAAAGTCCTAGCTAATGAAGCCTGCTGTCCTATTTGGCAAAGTGTTCGTACGTTAAAAGCTCCTACGTGTAGTTTAGAGCGTGGTTTCAGGAGACCAGGAATAGCGTTCCACGTACTCGAATCGTTTGCCCTAGCGGTGCGAGGTGATAAATAGACGTGGGGAGGGTTAGTCGGGGAGATAAGAGAGGTATTAGAAGGTGTAGGAAAGATTTGAATGTGACCACCTTGGTCTCTTGTGCTGTTACGGGTATGAGGGCTGATATCACTTCCCGGCTGCCCACACCGTGGGAGGGTATTTCTTGAGGAACCTGAAAAGGAAATTGGATTAGTGTTGGTCTTGACGACCTGGGAGCGTGACCGCAGAGCCCAAGGGACAACTGCTTGAGGCCGGTCGCGCACGGCCTTTTTGTGGAAGATTTTTGACGTGTTAGCTCCGTTCTTCAAAGGGCCTTACCGCCGGAGACGGAAATCCGTGAGGTAAGGTGAGGTGTGACATTTTTAGGGTCGACCTTTTCTAACCCCACCCCTCCTTGTGGGAAGGCAGCATCGCTGTCATGCTGGATGTCCGAGGGAAACACCTTACTGCTGTCACACCCCTCTACAGTCAGCAGTACGACTTCGCCCTCAGACCTTGAGTTGCTGCTTTTAGTCTTACCGTTCACCAATCGACCTGCCTGGCATGGTAGAACCTGCAGGAACATATGTTCCAGCCAATATAGCTCGGTTGGGTCATCACGATAGGCAAGCCCGACCACCGCGTCAAGGTAGCAGCTTCGATCGGGGTAGCAGCTTCGATCGGGAAGTACACACAGTCGACATGTAGATCAAATACAATTTCAGGAACCAGGTGAGTCAGTTCCAATTTCGATTGTTAATTCTAATGCTAATGAGTATATTCTAGATAATACAGAATCCTTATCCAATACAATGTCAGACAGACTCAGGATGAATTTGAGAAGAAGACGTACGATTGATTACAAACACCTAGACTCCAATTTAAGCTGTGGCGGATGTGGTGTTTGAATGAACCAATGATACCTTTGTACTTGTGGAATGCTCGATTTCGAATTCTAAATACAGTACATTCGTTGTGCCTGTGTCTTCTTAATTCAATTGCGTTAATCCTGAAATTCCTAATTCATACGATAATTCTACTACTATAAAATGTCATCAGTTGAAAAATCAGCCTTGAAAGTGGACGCCATGGCCAATATTTTCTGAGGCCTGGCAGAGAATTCATGCTGACTATTGTGGTCCGTTTCTTGGCAAATACGATGCACGAGTAGCTGTTGACTCTTTTTCAAAGTGGCCTGACGTTTAAATCACAACTTCACAAAATTCTGATTTCACAATCCAAGAATGTCGGAATATCGATGGTATGAATTCTAGACATCAATGACTTAAGTACACACAGTCGACATGCTGATCTAATTCAATTTCAGGAACCAGGTGAGTCATTTCCAATTCCGGTTGTCAATTTTAATACTAAAGAGTGCATTCTAGATAATACAGAGCTTTTATCCAATACAATGTCGGACAGACTCAGGATGAATTTGAGAAGAAGACGAAAGATTAATTACAAACACCTAGACTCCAATTCAAGCTGTGGCGGATGTGGTGTTTGAACAAACTAATGATTGTACTTTTGTACTTTTTAAATGCTCGATTTCGAATTCCAAATACAATACATTCGTTCATGTTCGTGTCGTACTTCTTGATTCAATTGCGTTAATTCAGGGATCCTTAGTTCACACTACAATTCATATACATGTGAATACAATAGAATGACATCTCAAAATTAGTAACTCGTTTGCATAAGGTTTGTGGAGAATAGTTTACTTTGGAGGTTTTCGTTCATGGGATTCCAGAATTATTCGTCAAAAGGTAACTTGAAGATCCTCGGAAATGATTCAAGGTGGAGATATCTGAATACATAAAGATGGAGAATCCTACACTAAGACGAAATAACACACTACTCTTCTTTATTTTAACTTTAATGTTTCCTGTTAGGTAAGTCACAGAATGCACGATCTGATTAACGACTGATCAAAACAGCTCGCAATCCATCCGAATATTAAATGCCTATAGTAATTACGTGATTTATCAAGTTTTTAAACAGTCGATCACACCACAATACGACATGAAGTCTACACACTGCTACCCAATGATCTCAATTAAAATTTTATTATATAACTGACAGAAAGATGTAAAAACTTACTTAGTCCCATCTAAAGTAGTTGTAGAATATGTGGGTTTGACACGTACAAATCCAGCTTATTGAGCGGACGTAGCTTGTCCAATAACTTTAACCTAAAATAAAAGCGCTATCCATAAATTACCCTAATTAATTACTTACAATTCACCATGAATATATTACTCCGGATCCGTATAACTTAAAACTAGGTCAGGTACACATTGTAATTTTCTAATCGTGTTGTCATGTGGTCGAACATTTTAGATACATTATTGTATAATTCACCAGCAATGGCTAAATAAACTACGTCAAACAATAAATCTGACAACTTTCTTTGTCTTCTAATTAGAGATTGAGTCAGAAGAAGCTCGATGACCAATAGATGTTAAGGCCTTGATTGTCATGCAGTGATCAGTTAGTCAATTGGCAATTAGAAGGTCAGCGGTTCTGTAGGCAATAAAGGCGAACTAACCGATGACTAGACAACAGATAATACAACGGTTACTGTAATAACGACCTGATCACTCATCTCTTCTCTGTGCACACCAGATTATACTATAGACAGAAATCAACAGTCCTCAATACAAACTACTTAAATCACACCAAGTAACTGCCCACAATCTACTTAAAAATAGTGCATCATGAAACAGACATGTTAGTAATGACATTTGACACTTGTCGAAATCCGAAGGAAGTGTGAGTGTTGAGACAGTATTACTAGGATTATCAACGGAAGTGGGTACGAGTATCGGAGTAAACATAACCTCTGGGATACAGGCACATAAAACTAACGAGCCCTGAACTGGACGTAACACTCGTCCTGGATTCCACTAGTCGCCACCATCGTATCAGTTTGTTAAGCTTGTGACTGAAAGCAATATCGAGGCAATCCACACAGGATACACATATGCCAATAAGAGATTCATCAATCGCAGTCCTAAACAGCGATGGGAATACTCGAGTAACCAATACAAAAATGAATTAAAAAACAACATATATTTACGAAATTCTGAGAACTAGTTCACTGGAAAACGTCTAGCAAACAACGGCATTCTCTTCATCAACATTCACTTCATTAAATGATGATCACTAATGAAAGCAATTTAATTCGTGTCATGTTACTATCACTAGATGAATGACAAGTTCCGTTGAAAGGAATTTCTCCATTTATGTACCCACTTTAAATAACAGTCTTACAAAATGCCAACTGAATGAATGAATTATGTTCGTGAAACCAACAACAACGACAACCTTTTACCTTGTCATTTGTAGAGTAAGAAACAATAGCATCATACACAGAAAATCTAAATCTAACACTAACAATGCTTATGTCTATTGTGAGTGTTACAAGATCAATCTGCAATCGCTGTGTGTGAATACAATGATGGCATAAGAAAGAAGATCGTCAAAACAGCAACCTCTTCATTCATGTAAACATATATCGAATATATCATCAACTCAAGAATAAATTAACGTAATGAAGATGAAAGGACTCACATCTTTTGAGTTATACATATGATATTAAAGACAGTTCTAAAGTTTAATTCATTTTCGAATTGGTTGTGTGAATCTTCCAACTGATGTTTAAAACTGCGATTGATGGCCTCAACCCTATGTCGCTACCACTTTTACTTAATAATTTTCTACTATTCTGAATATTATTTATCAATCCTTCCCTTCATTATATACATATGGATTAGTAGGCTCATGTTATACAATATAAAACTCGGCATGTCTTATGTACCCTTACTCTTAAATGTATAACCTCACGGACACACGAACACAGCACACACTAGCTTCATTCTAATCTTGTTCAAGCCGATTTCCTCATATTTCTTTGTACCGTTATGATCACTAGATCATATGACAGATTTAACTGAAATGTTGATTGCTTAAATAACACTCGATGATTCTTCCTCATTCCCATGTGTATATGTACTGAAATCCTATTATTAGCTTTCTCTGCCTTGCTTCGCCTTGATGTAATTTGACCATAAATTTGCCTATGTAACTGCCCACATATACATATTCGCCTCTCCACCGCATTTTTGCTCGATGGACTTATAGCTTTGTGATCTGCGCTATCCTCTAATAAACTGTAGTTTCCGTCTTTCATTGCCTTCTCAGTTTTAAACACCGTTGAGATTTACATTATAACGGTTATTGAGGTGATCGATTAACTGAGCAAAGTCACTACAAGTCTCTTACTGGTGTATGTTGATCATATGTGGATTGCCTAGACACTGCCCTAAATCACAGACATCATAAGACGAAATAGGTTGTGTCGAATTATGGAATCAAGGACACGTGGCTCATCCTACTTGAGACACGTCAGCTTGATTTGCCTCTATTCCACAGTTGACTTTGTTGTAGACAGAAGGAAAATACACATGAAATCGACATCACTACACAGAATAGACTTTAATTTAAACTCAAACGAAATCTAAGTGATAATGGTTAGCAAGTCTAAGTTTAGTAAACTAACTAAACTTTATTTTATCTAATAGTACATTTCTTGATATTATCGAAACGTACAACTTTGATGATGTGTTACTACTGACGACGGGTAGACAAGACAATCTAGGTCGAATCATTCCAGGGTATGGCTAAATTATAATTAACATTCTATCTATTCAACATTCTCAGTTCATTTGTCTAAGAAAGAATGAAAGTGGTGTGATAAAAGACAAAGGATCAGTGCATTTATCACTTCATTGTTTTTATCAATATGAATAATTAGTACATTTCTAGACATTATCAAAATGTAAAACCTTTGTGTTTTCAAGACAAGTCAAATAATATCAAAGAAATGTTACTACCGACAAGAAGTGGACAAGATTATTTAGGTCAAATCATTCTGAGGTATTGTTAGACAGTTTAACAAATTTTGAAAAATATCTAAAACTTAAAAAACTGTCAGACAATACTGAAGTTAGAAATTTCAATACAAATGTCTAGACATTTTTATTGTACAAAGCGGAAATGTGAAGCATTATTACTATAACCGTCGTAGAAAAGGTACAGAAATTTGAAAACAACTGTCTACTCAGGATACTCAATGTCCGTTGGCCAGACACCATCAACAACAACCTACCTCAGCACAGAACAAACCAACTCCCCGTCGAAGTGGAAAGTAGATAAAGATTATGGAAGTGGATGGGATACACATTGCACACATCATCAAACTGAATCATACAGCAAGTTTTAACTTGGAATTCTCATGGCAAAGTGAAACAATACAGAGCGGAACACACATTGTGTCAGAACTTAGATGCAGACATCAAAAGAATAAATAACACTTGAGATCAAATGAAAAGGAGAGAGGGCACAGGGCAGAGTTAAGTGGAGAATCAAGTTCAGCAGCCTATGTTCCACGAGCAGTAACAGGCGGAAGTAACTGATGATTTTAAGAATTTAATTCAAAGAAATATTTATTGCATGTTCCGCAAACTATATCAAGAAATAAATTTATCGCTTCGGTTAAATTATAGTAAAATCCATCTGATTGTTGAATTGCTTTCTACACAACGTACATGTAAAATAACGAAAACAGTGAATTTCTTGTGTTTCATGTAATTCCTGGTTTATTTACATGAATGTAACTTTCAAAAGTACTTCATTGAAAGTAGAATTATATTTTGCTATCGAAAGTTAATTTACTGGTGACTCGTAATGTCTGAGTGTTTGTTCAATAGTCTCCATCATATCCAAACACTGAAATATGAATAATGAAAATTCCTATCAACAAACTCTCTCTACCAGTTCCACAGTTATATATGCAGATCAAAGAATGTTCCATAAGATTCTATCCACACTACCAAATGCTTTCTCGTAGCCAAGAAAACTGATGTACAGTGATTAGTTGCATTAGATCGGTTGTTCATCAATCATCCATAGGATCGCAATTTGGTCTGAACGCGACCGATCCTTATGGAATGCTGCCTGTTGATCTCGAAGTTGGACGTCTACTGAATATATCAGTCGGTTCAATAACGCTGTTGAAAACGTTTCCCGGTAGTGTTAGTAGTGTTATGCCTATGTATTTCTCACACTTGATGAGATAGTCATAATGGGTCATTCTGTAATTAAGATTACTTAATTTATTAGCTCTGAAGTTGGCCGACGTTAGAGGAGCGAAACATTTTGCTTTAACATACATACCTCAAACTTTATACTTCAAGCGCTCTATGCTTGTTAGTTGACTACACAAATTCTAAACCAATCATCTGGTGAACGATTGTTTGTAGATCATATTAAGCAAGACCATCGTTCGAAATTAGGTCTTCCGTCTTGTCGAATATATGGATTGAGATAGCTGTGTTGAAGCGATAACAATGACTTTGTGAACTATATCAAGGAGTATTAAGAAAGAAACTCAGCACAATTATCAAAATTAGTTTTTCAAAACAACTAGTTACATTTGCTCATTTCTCAGTATCATCAATATCAATATTCACCTTGATAGTTTCAAATAAGTTGAGCATTGGATACGAAGATAAAATTATAT